ATGAGCCGGCACACTACTTCTGCTGAAGAGACCTTAGTAAAAATTTAAAGGATATCTTGACAAAGTTGACCAGAAGACCTCAGTTAAAAAAAGAAAGGGAATTCTTCTGATCTGACCTTGAAGGAATAGTAAACAAAGATACTGAAAATATGCTTAAAGTGCTGGAAATGGTAGTTCAGAGGAACTTTGGGATGTACTTGCGGAGAAGACTTCTCTTCTCCTAGCCCATTTTACTTTTGTATTTTTTTCTTTAGAATCTGGGCTATGATTCTGGGAAAAAGTGGTCCGAGAAGTGTGAATGAATTAGTACAGCTTAGTAGTTTTAATCCCAAGTTAGAAGTGTAATCATCTGACTTACATTGGGATATTTGAGATGGTATCTTGGCCCCAGTGAGTGCAATGAAAACTTTACCACTGACTTCTTTATGACTTGTATTTACTCTTTGAAAGCTGAAGCTCAGTTACTGACCTCTGACATCCTGCTTCAGACACTCCAAAGATATTCTAGCAGCTTCAGAAAAAGGAGAGAATGAGGATTGGTGTTTCTAATATACAAGTGTATGTATGTGCATTGATGTACTTAAAACTGCCGTAGTGAATGTACAGAAAGAGTAAGGAAACAAACATGTATAACTTTTTTTTTACATTGTAACATTAAATGAGGCAAAATTCTTTTAGCAAGTAGTGGCCAAGGGCTTGCTTTAATGTCAGAAAAAATACTCTTTCAAATGTCTCACTTGCTGACATGTTATACAGCTAGCCTGGTTCTACTGCCTATTGAGCCATAACTAATCAAATGAGGTTAGAACTTCACTTTCTGTTATATGCGATATCAAAAGCTCAATGAGGAATGTCAAAGTATAGCATTACCTCTGCAATTCAAATACCTACAACTTGGGGTTAAAGCAAAGTTTAGCTTTGCTTTATGTAAACTGCTGAGTCTAAAGGATACATCGGCCACAACAGGTAATAAGAGCATGCCAGCTGAGATGTGGTTTCCTCTAGTTTTCACTGCTTTTATCTTAAATTTTGCTGTAGAAACTGCAGCAGTAACTTTCCTTGGGGTTGTTGCTGAATAATCCAAAGCGTAGTCCAAATCCTACCTTGCCAATACTGAAAGATATTAATAGATTCGGTTATTGTTCAAGTCTCTATGTGGCTGAAAGGTAAGGTGTGTATGTGTGTGTTGCTCCAGTGTCATACAATAGCCAGAAATCCATGTTACTGTCCCTGTAAGTAGCAATGCTAGGGTTGATGTGTATCATATGCCTTCTGCCAAGTATGAGTGAGGGTTATAAAAACTGCAGTTTAAAACTAATTTGAGTTGTACAAGGAAAAATGGAGGCTTTGGACCTGAGACACTTTAAAAAATACATCTCAAATTATAACAGTTTGGTAAATACTTGCTTTGAGTTACTTCTAAGTTGTGTTTTAAGATTGTATGCATGCTTATTTACAAAATATTTAAGTGCAGGAAGTATAGCTACATTCAGCACCCGCTTGTACTTTGACACATGGTTTTGCTATACACAAGTCTTTTTGCTGTGATGTGGGAATGATGTGCTTGGCATAAGAAGGAGGAAGCAATGTATTGAATAGGGAGCCCTACATATCTGAAGAATGTTAATGAGATGATGCTTTATTGCATATCCTTTTGGGAGCTTGAAATGGGCTATGTAGGTTATGTAGAAGTAAATACACTATTGGGAAACATAGGAAATCTTAACTAGGAGGCTAGCAACTACATTAATTAGGAAGATGCACATTTCTGAATTATCACTCTGCTCAAAAATCTCAATTCAGATATATTCTTCTGAAGCAGTTGTCACTTAGTCAAACAGTTGAGCTTTATAGGTTTGTACTCTGCAATGTTTTTCAGTATCTTTTGTGAATGATAATGCATTTTTGGTAAAGAGGTACTACTACCACAGATCATTTTATCTTGAGTGTGAAGCTGGGGAGGGGGTGCTTACTACTGAATTGGGCAAAAAGCATTTTGATCTGATTTTCTGTTGCAATATACTGAATTTAATAACTGTTATTACTAGCTTTAAGGTACATCTTGAGAGTGTTAACATTAATAATGCTAATTATTTTCCACAGCAAATGTTTAAAATATATAGCAACTCTAGGGAGTAATTATGCTATTTCTTAATCTGTTTCTTACAGTACACTCTTAAATTTCTTTCTGAAAAGAGTTTTTCTTAAGTGCTGCTACAGTTTCTCAAGTACTCGCAGCCAGTAGGTTATAAGGTGCATTGAGAAGACTATTTAAAGCTCTTTTCTGTGTGCTGGCCATGGTACTTTTTGAACAATCTGAAAGTAGTTGTATGTATATGATCAAAGGAACCTGAAATCTCAACCCTGAATTGGTATGAAGTAGATGTCCCAGTCATATACCCTTTTCCCAGTTATTTTGAAGGTAGGGAATATGAGTGGTGTTATGGTGTTAACCCTTACTCTCTTGTAACTTTAAGATTATGCTATCATATTAGTGCAACACCAAGTGTCAATGCTCATGTCTGAAAAAGAGCAGTACTAGAGGACAGGTGGTGAAGAGGGAAGCTGCACCTCTTAGGAACTGATGATATTCAGATATATCTTGGGTGGCTCTGAAAATAACTAGCTTTACTCCTTAGGACAAATTTGTCTCATTAGCAGAACAGGTTTCCATAGGAATGCTAGGCACTTCATATGATATGCATAGGAGTTCTGAACAGCTGGCAAGTCTGAGGTGATCAAATTACCCAAGACCTCACTTAGAGAAAAAGAATAAATTTCTTCAGGAAGGATAGGTGGCAGCAGCACAATGACCATGCTGAGACCTTTACCTGGGCTCTTTTATATAAATGTTAAGGATGTCTAAAAAGTTGCATTTTCTCTTCCTTCTGTCTTACCTCTGTAGCATGAGGGCAAATATCCAGAAATAGTAGAGAATAGAGTGGATAGCCTGGATTGTTAAAGGAGATCAGGCACACCTTCAGATGAATGGTGTTCCTTGCCTGGGGCTCACTGACAGTACTAGCACAAAAGGAACAGCATTTTGTCCAGAACATTGCTTTCTGGAAGGTAGTCAGGACTGCAGTGTAAGGAGATAACCTCATGTTTGGAAGGGCAGGTTGTCCTGCATCCCATTGCTGTCACTCATGCTGCCTGAATGAGCAGGACTCTGATAGGAGGAAGGCCTCACTGCTCGCTCACCTCTTCCTGATCCCTTCTGCTGTCATTCCAGAAGGGCTCCGTATGCACTTGTTCCCCTGTCACCTTAGTGTTAGCAGAGACCTGTCAAAACTGCTGATTTCACAGCTTATGAATCTGAATGAAGTACTTTCAAAGATACACTGAACTGAAGCAACACCATTTGTTTTGATTATATGTCTGGATTTTCTCAACCATGAGAACTAGGACATGATTTTGAATTAGTTTTTAATTTGAGAAGACTATCACAGGATTTCAGGAGCAGAGGATTTAGACTTGTAAATGTTGTACTTGCTTTAATCCAACCCTGACAGGTAAACTTAGTATCTTTTGCATTTTCTAGACTGCTGCTGTACCTGAAGTATGGCCACTTCTAGCCGACAAGGCATTTACCTGTACTTGGCATGGCTTTAGAATTCCCGATGTCACCACTGTGACAGTACCGAAGTGAGGTTATAACAAGGTGACTATAGATGTGTGCATTTTGGATATGAACTCAAGGTTGTTTTCATTTAAAAAACCCATATCTGCTAGACTTATTAAACAGCAGCATCTATAGCATTTTCTGTGTTGTTTGTGGTTTGTATAGGTCTGGTGTAATAAGGACCAAATCTTTCATGGCCACTTGGCAATACTAGCCACTAAATACTAACTGAAGTGTAATGTAGTCTCCTAGTTTTCATCTGTGATTTGTTAAATAATGAGACTTTCTGTAGGGCTACGGCTAAAGAGGGGAACAGAAATATTTGCTACATTATTTATAATAGTATTTCCATCAGTAGAAACAAGTAATATAAGCTACTGATCTATCTAGACCCAAAAATATGGGGAAATGAAATATCCTGAAAATCCCATCTAAAAGTCAAACTAAACTTGCAAGTGGGAATGAAATGTGAACTACTCTGCGTTCCAGAATGGCTGTCCCTTTTTTCTTGCTGTTCTTCAGAGGACTTTTTTTCTTGGGTATCATGCCACATGTAGAGTCTGTTAGCAATACTGAAGCTATCTGTGGGTTCAGTGAGTCTGCTTAGCACATGCAGGTGAAAATTAACTTTGCTACTGTATGTAAGTATTTGTGAAAACATCAGCCATTCACAACTAGTCTAACACCTCCACTTATTTAAGTTTAATGGCTGGACACATGCACATCATAAAACATCTGAGTGAAACCTTGCCAATGGTGTGTATAAATAGGAGTAGTAAAGACAAAAATTAAAGACAGCAATGTGCTACCAGGAAAGAATAATTGAGCATTTATCTGAATCATTGATGCTTCTCCCTTCCCTTTTTTTTTTTTCCCCCCTCCTCTCCTGCCCCTTTATTTTAGAACAATCAGCAGGACATTAACGGTTCTTAGCAACTCTTCAAAATATTGCAGGAATCAAATATAAGGCACACTACAACACATTAGGATCATAACATGTACAAAACAATGGGAAGTCAGTGAAGGAAGAACAGGAAACTTTGAACATTAAGAATTGTCTCGTACATCTATTTCACTCTGCCAAAATAACCGATGCTTATTTTTTGTCACTTACCTGTCCTTTTGTTTTAGGCCAACACATATGAAAAGTATTGGGAATTTTATCAGAAATTTGGAGGCCAGAGCTTCCCCAAAGACCATGTAAAAAAAGCTATTGCTGAAATTGAAGAGATGTGCAATATTTTGAAAAGAGAAGGTGTAATTGTCAAGAGGCCTGATCCAATTGACTGGTCTGTGAAGTATAAAACACCTGATTTTGAGTCTACAGGTAAATGTTCTTCCATTGTTGAAGGCCTTGTCTGTTGAGCTCTTGTTTGAGACATTTTTGGATGTCATCTAGTCTACCTTCTTGCTTGGAGCAGGATTATTGCCAGTGCTAGATGAGGTCAGTGACGGCTTTGTATAGCTATGACTTGGAAAATCTCAGGGATAGAGATTCTGCCATATGGTTTACTGACCTCTTTCAGTGCTGCATGGATTTCCTAAAGAAAGACGTGCTCCTAATACCTAACTTGAACTTCCCACGCTAGCATCTGTTGCCAGAGTTCCTTACCATGTCACTGCCACTACCAAGAAGTGTTCATCTGCTGTGTTTAATGGCCCTGAAAGTAGCTGTAGGCTGTTACTGCTTTGTCCCCTGCTTGCCACATGAAATAAGCTGAGATCCTTCCACTTCTTCTCCCAAGTCAAGTGCTGTAAGGCCCCCCTGACTGTCTTGATAACCCTTTGTTGGATCCATCTTAAATTATGGAGACCAAAACTAGAAACAGTTTTCCAGGAGGATCCTCACTAGAGTCAAGGAAATTTGAATGTCTCTTTACCTACTAGCCACATTCCTCCTTATATAGCAGCATATGGCTTTGATTATTTGCAGTGAGAGCACACTGGCTCATACTCAGCTTTGTATCAAGTGTAGTCTTCAGGCACCTTTCATGTCAAATGTGTTCTTAAGTAGTTCTAGTGGAATTCAAATTTATTAGCGAACAGATAATGTTAAAGAAAGAAAAGTCTAATGGGACTACTTCCTGCACTGGTTCTGTGTGCCATCAAATTCCTCTTCTGTGCTATTACTTTTTAAACAGATGGCTTATAAAGAAATGAGATCCACTTGGAAAACTTGCCACCCACCTTTTAAAGTCCTCCGAGTAATTCATAAGCATTTGCTTAGTTAATTTCCATTAACTAAATTATGAAGTGAAGGCTTGTAGACTGTAGATGGCTTGCTTTCATCTAGCCATAAACTTGTTATGAGTGAGGCTTTGTAGCAAAAGTTGCATGTATTTTGAACAACAAAAAAGTCACTTTGAAAACTTACTGAGGAATGTAAGGACCTCAAATTATGTGCTGGTTTCCTGAATTTGCTAAAGATGCTTTTTGCCATTCTTTTGGATAGAAGTAATGGTAAAAAGGAGGGTGAAAAGTGAATAAGCTGAAGGAGCTGAGAAAAGCATATTTGTCTCATGGGTTAGTGGCCTTTTTCGTTTCAGGTATGTATGCTGCCATGCCAAGAGACATCCTGTTGGTGGTGGGAAATGAAATTATTGAAGCGCCTATGGCTTGGCGTGCTCGGTTCTTTGAGTACAGAGCATATAGACGAATAATCAAAGATTATTTCAACTGTGGTGCTAAGTGGACAACTGCCCCCAAACCTACAATGGCAGATGAACTCTATGATCAGGTATTGTTCTCATTTTGCTTCAGAACTTCAGTTCTGGTTATACAGAATTTTGTTGATAGTTTCAACCTGATATCTAGGTTTCACAAAATTGGGACACACACACAAAACAACTCTGGAAATTTGTGGTTTTTTTCTAGTGTATGCAAATATTCTGTAGCCTTTCCAGATGAAATTGAGTGCGTGCAATTAGGGAATAAGAATCAGGAAGTTGTGTCTATTGAATGCAAGTCTGCTTTGGAATTGTTTTGATTATTGACTGTAACTTAGTATTACCAAAGAGGAAGGAATTCTAAAAAGACATCACAAACATTATTTGAAAGAACTAAGATTCCCTGAGAATGTCCATATGTCCTGAGTGTATCAGGAAAGTGGGAAAGAATATATATTTTGTCACAGGAAAAAAACCCTTATAATCCTTATTTTGCATGATGATTAGTATTTTGAAAGTTACATAATAGTGGAGGATCTAAACTGTGAGTATTTACCTTCCTAATATTTAAGTGAATATTTTCTTAAATTTTTTTCTTTTGTAATAATTTTGACTCAGACAATTTTGGTAGTTTCCTATAGGCTCCCAAACGCATTAGGAGCTTGATAAGAACATCTACAATAAGTGCAGTAAAACTGATTGTGGAATGATTGTAACTTTCTGGGAACAGTGACATCTTATCAATGATGCAAAGAAGTCTTTCTTAAACAAAATTACCTTAGAGTAATCTGTCAGTATTAGAAAACTTCCAGAGCCTGTTCTAAAGCATAGAAACTACTTATCCAGTAGTTTTTGTTTGTGCTGTTTTTTACACCTCATTTGTTCTTAATTGTATTGTTTCATTCTAAAAATCTATTTAAATTCCTGAAGATTTAACTTCTAGTTTGAAGTACTGCTCCATTCTAAAATGTGGAAAAAGTAGGGAGTCCACCTTTGTTAGGATATAGCTTGTATACCAGTATTTCTGTCACTGTGCAGTGATTTGTTGGACTGATAGTTAAACTCCACTGGTAATGAATACTTTCAATCCAGAAGGCAGAATATTATCGAGACAGTAGCTCTGAAGAGCAATTAACTTCTTGGTATACCTATTGTCTCTTATCTCATCACCTACTCTTAAAACCTTTTACTTAAACTTTCACATTTATGCTTTCTTTTTTTATTCTAATAACAAGTAAACCCAGCCACCTCCAAGGAACATACTAGCTATCACTATAAACATATTTTCTTAATTTCAAAATACTATTCAGTAGCAAATAGTTTGAAAACTTTCCTTTACCATCTCCAACCTAAATTTGTTATTCCTTTTTCTATAACTAGGATTATCCAATCCTCTCTGTTGAAGACAGGCATAAACTGGCTGCTCAGGGAAAATTTGTAACTACTGAATTTGAGCCATGCTTTGATGCTGCTGACTTCATTAGAGCTGGAAGAGATATCTTTGTACAAAGGAGCCAGGTAGACAAAGGTTTCTTGCAACAGTGTTGATATCTATGTGAATGATAGCTACTTGTATTTATGTCTCTAAATTCCTGAACCACATTAAAATAAGTGTTGACAAAAGAAGATGCTATTTGTAGAATGCCTGATATATAGGATGAGACTGTCTTACAGCTAAGAGGTTAGCTAAAGGCACAAACTTCTATTATTTTGTCTTTAAATATTTATTTAAATAAAACCTTAGACAAACTAACCTCTGATGCAGTTTATATTCTAGCCTAGTGAAACTTACTTTGTCCTGTTTTCAGGTTACAAATTACATGGGTATTGAATGGATGAGGCGACATCTTGCACCAGACTATAGAGTGCATATAATATCCTTTAAGGATCCTAACCCTATGCACATTGATGCCACTTTTAATATCATTGGACCTGGTCTTGTGCTTTCTAACCCAGACCGTCCCTGCCATCAGGTAAGAGTGTAGCAGAGGGGAAAGTGTTTTGTGTTTAAAAATTACTCGGCTGGATTTGGTCCCTGCTGTATAATTGCTAATCCACAAGTCTATTTTGTATACACTTGAATAATATTAAATTATTGAATTTAAATAGCACTCAGACAGTTGTTCAGGAACTTACAGGTGTATTTGCATCTTGACTCTAGAACTTTCTCGGCAGTGCAATGACCATTGTTCTCCCCCAGTTTTCTGCCACTGCTCTTTGTGCTTTCTTATTGTGAGGCTAGATGGATGTGTTGTGTGTTTCTTCATGTGTACGTGGTTTAAATATGACAGAAGCGATCTATTTTGTAATAATGTACTATCAAAGCAAGTACACAGGATATACTACTTCTCTGAACACTTCTGCTACTTAAATATGTTAATTGTATCCAAGGAGAAATTGTGGGGGTTTTGATGCTCAGGTGAGTAATCCCCCTTTTTATTCCTATTTTGGAAGCCCTTCCTTTGGTATTGTTAACTGTACTGATGGCAGGAGACTGGTAATTGCTCAGGCATTCAGCTTTGAGTAACTGAACGAGAAGTACTCTTTGAAGAGTAAGAAAGAGGAGAGACATGGTTCAGTATGTAAAACATACTACTTTATTCTGAGAAAAAGCTAATATTGCTAAACAGTGCAATCAGATCAGAAAGCCTTCCAGAGAGTAAGAGCTCCTCTCTGTTACAGATGTGTTACCTGTACTGTCAGTGCTTGAGGATTTTAGTGAGGATCCCCATGATTTCAGAAGCTGTACAACCACATGGCAATAGCTGAGCTGATACTGAATCAGTGGGATAGAGCTGTGTGCACCAGAGATTATGGAACCATGTGCACAGCGTAGCTCTTAAGAGCAGTATTAGTCTCTTCTCAGCAAGTGGCTTCGATGCAAATGGTCCCATTGAATTAATGCCTCTCATAATATCCATTATGAGAATATAATTTTTAAAACAGTCATAGTCTTTTCCTCCCCTTTTCCTTTCCCCTGTTTTCATAATCCTACTTGCAAGAGGAGGCTCTTGGTTGTCTCGCGTTACAGCTGTGTGCTGGGATTTTTTCATGGAAAACTACTGTCTGTGTGGATAGAAAAGATGGATGCAGCTTGTTTTCCTACAAACTGATTTGGCGGTTCTGGATGGCCGGGAAAGCGGGTGGGGGGTGGGGAGAGATGGAGGTAAAAGGGGGCTTTTCTTTAAAATCCTGGCAGGCCAGGCTGGTTATTGAGTTTTCAGAATCGGAGCTCCACCTCGTGGTAACACTTGAATAAAGAGCTTTTCCAAGAATTCAGACTGAATTTGAAAAGTCAATTCTCCTTAGACAAATTATCCTCCTCTTATTTTTAACTTAATTGTGTAATTCTTACAGACACAAATTATTCCCTAGGATGCCTTTATTTTGTTTCCTTTGTTAAATAAACTGCATATTAAGTTTCTTACGAAGCATGATGCAAATGTAATTTTATGTAGTATTTTTGGTGGTTTTGTTTCTTTAAATGGCAGTGGAATTCATATCAATGGCTTTTACAGTCATATGGGAAGAAATAATACCAAAAATAAAGAATTTAATACTTTTGTGCTGTTACTGATATCTTTACTTCACAGGCGCCAAACTGCATGTGTTTGTCTTTAACATATGTTAGTATACCTAGCATATATATAAAAACAGTAGAAACAAATGCTAGTGGTATGCAAAGTTTGAAAAGGCTTTCAAAAAATGCTTGGATGAAAACTGGTTTCTAGATGGAACTCGAATGAGGGCAGGAGTAGTGAACAGAGGGAAAGGGATGTCATGTACATTGAAGTAGCCTGAAAAAATGTGGCATAGTTTGGAGGACATAATATGATACTTTAAGAACCATGTTTAGAATCTAATTAAATTGCTCTTTCAGATTGAGCTCTTCAAGAAAGCAGGCTGGACTGTGATTCGACCCCCAGTGCCACTCATCCCAGATGGTATATTCACTCTCTCTTTTCTAAGAATTCCAAGAGTATTCTTAAGAGTATGGGGCAACATTGATACAGTAGAAGGTTCATTCTCATGTGTTTAGATCACCCACTGTGGATGTCTTCTAAATGGCTCTCCATGAATGTCTTAATGCTGGATGAGAAACGTGTGATGGTGGATGCCAATGAGACATCGATTCAGAAGATGTTTGAAAATCTGGGTATGTCCTAATGTATTTCAACAAATACTTAAAACAAAATGATTGGGGTACCAGCTATGCACATCAGGATGAATGGAGGTTTCACTTAAAGTAGTCAAAGCAGCCAGCACTGGAAAAGGTACTGAAACAATTGGGTTAGCAAGTAAGAATCATTCAGTGATTTCTCTCCTGATTACTTCAGTCATATGAATATGGCTTCTTACATCTTGTGCCCTCTACAGCTTGCAGCAATTAAAGGTACGAGTGGCAATTAAAGTTACTGCTAGCATGATTTTGAATGAGCTTTTTTTAATGTAAAACTGTCTGTTCAGTTTGGAGGTCAAAATCTATATTGGAGAGGTTGAGTGCGTGTACTGCTGAGTGATGTAGAGCAGGCTATCCCTCATTACCAAAATGCTTTCAGATTTTTCTAGTTCCAAACTTATTGTACTTTAATGGTCAAATTAAGACCACTTAACCCAGGTATTTCTGCTCATTTATGGAGAATCTCAGTCCTGTGAGATGTACCCTTGTAAAAGGGCGGAATTCCTTTAGATATGCAGTGGCGGGAGACCTGTAATTGAATATAAAATCTGAAGGTCTTATTATGCACAGCTCACTGCAAAGACAAAGAATATAGACTTAAAAATTGGAACTCATGCAGTTAATCCAACTGCTTCCATCATGCTTTGAGGGAAAGGTGTAGGTAGATCTACTTGTGGCTCAGAATTGGTCAGCAGTAGGGTGGCTAGATTGCTTGGTGCTGCAGCCAGCTGACTATTGGTGCAGGATAAGTACATGGTGGTGCAAGAGTTGACAGGGTAGAAAGGAGACTGCTGGCTAGATGAGAAGTCAAGGGAAGTGAGGGATCATTGTATTGCAGAGTAAAAGAGAATACTCCCCAGTAGCAGAAGACTCCTTTAAAGGGAGAAAAATGATGGGAAGGAGAGAATGATCCAAAGGTGGAAGATAGCAACTGTGAACCTAGAAGAAGTGTTGGTGCCATGGATGTGAGTGCACTTATTGAAGCCTCCCTCAAATCTGAGATGATTGCAGGTGAGAACCACCCAATCTAATGCTTTAATCTGCTTTTAAAGACTGGCTATACAGTGTTTAGTGAATCACTTAGCTTTTTGGTCTTAAGTGGTTTTAATTGTCTGCATGACCAAGGAGCTGAAGATTTATAAATGCTTGAAAGTACTTTAAAAATGAGGCTATTAATGCTAATCATGACATATCTTTCACACTTGAACTTCACAGTCTGTGTGAGTTCTAAATAAACTCCTGTAGTCATTAAGTTCCTAAGACTGAGATGAGTCTACTGGGAACAAAACTATTGCTGACCTAGAGGGTGGATTCTGCTGAGCTGCTCCTGAAAGTTCCAAGAAGCAAAAAACTTCATAACAGAAAAGTCTTCTGATCCTAGTCCATCATCTGTCAGGACTTTGTATAAGCTGAGCCACAGCTGAAACATCAGAGCTGAAAAGAAGTGGGAGGAAGCTTAAATAAGGTAGTAAGTATAACAGCCTGTTCCCCTTTTCAGAGAAAGAGGGACTTAGAGCTCTGTCCTTTGAATGCTGCTTTTATTGAGAGGCACTTGGAAGACCACATTTAGTGTCTGAACCATAAATGCTCACACAGATTTATGTAAGTGTGCCCTGGTCATATATTGTAGCAGAATTTCTGCTGATTCTTCACATACCACAAAAACTGAATTTTTCTTTTTATTACTGGCATATCATAACACATCAAACACTGGCTATGCTCCAGGCACTGTATATTCCTGAGGGTGTCACTGCAATAAACAAGCTAGCTGTGTTCCCAGCTTGTTCTCTGCCTAGAATTTGGGAAAATAAATTCTTAACAAATGAGTAGGAAATAGTTTCTATATTTGCATCTAGCCATATGATCTGATAAAGCATTGTCTAATGTTCTGATCAAAGCTTACCACATGAATTTGAGATTTTAATTTTAAAGTATGCAATGTATGTTTCTTGCAGGCATTTCTACAATTAAAGTGAACATTCGCCATGCCAATTCATTGGGAGGTGGTTTCCATTGCTGGACATGTGATATCCGCCGCCGTGGTACCCTGCAATCTTATTTTGACTAGTTATGAGCCAGATATGTAGCAATGGTTCAACTTCTAAAATAAGCATAGGAAATGAGCAAATTAATTTCACTTTTGTTAAAACAACTGCATGGCCTCTAGCGCTTGATCAGTGGTGTCCTTACAGTGGTCTGGTAAATGATTTATTCTTATGTACTGTTCACTTTTGGCAGTATAATTGAAACTACTTCATCAGCAATACAGGTTTTCTGGCTGGCTTTTTGAAAGACATCCTTCATCTGTGAAGCCTTTTCACATTGGCTTTGAATGTAAAAACTTGACAAGATAGCTAAAAGGTCTTGCTAGAATAGCTTGACCACTGCTATTGGACATCTACCTCTTTCTAGTTACTCTATCAAATAGGCAGCTTGAAATGTTAAACTTGAGTAGACTTTTCTTATTCCTTTTAATCAGTCTATTGTTCTAATATATTTGTGTTTAATGAAGTTAAAATAGATGCAACTGTACAGATCTCTTATGGAACCAAGTAATTTTATAGTGTTTTTCATGTCAAGCCATACAGATATTTACAGATAATTTCCAGTATGATCTAACTTCTAAGACATGTTCACTTACTTGCCATGTTCTTCTACATTTTCTTCTGATGTCTGATGCATATCATGTATCTGAATACTTTTTATATTGCTTTTTGTATTGCTGAAATTGTTTTTTATTTAACTTTTAAGTGTACAAGTGGTAGCTAATATTCTGCTTGTACACGTTTCACTCTAAATTGTTTACATAACAAAAAAAAAGGCACAAACCAAAAAACCTACGAACAACCCTGCTCTAACCTTAAACCTCTGACATCTTACAATCCTTTCTTCCTCCGACTGTAGCAGATACAGAAAGATGTATCAAACATGTCAGATGCTGTGAAGGAATTTGAGTATTGATTACTGAATATGTACTTTTTATGCTAATAAAGGTTTTCTGCATTCTCAATTTGTTGCCGTTCTGAAAATGAGTAACCATGAAATGTCTGGATGGGTACATGTTTGTAGAATACAGATGGAAATACAAAGTGCACTTTGTATTTATTTTTTTTCTGTAGAATATGTAACATCTTAGGCACTTGTACAATGCAGAAAACCCTTGTACCATATAGTTCAAATAGTATGTTTCTGCTTCTGTTTTGCACAGAAGTATGGCTGGTGGGGGCAAGTTCCACTAAGAGATATTTCTTACCAGACTGTGGAAGAATTTACTAAGTCAGACAGTGCAGTGCACCTTGGCGGAAAAGATGTCAGGCAAAAGATGTTCACATATAAGCCGTCTGGCCGTATTTTACACAGAGTTGGGTAGGACTAAACGGGTTATATAGCATGCTTTAAGATATGCCAGACTGGAAGAGCTAATTAGACAGCTGCTGGCACCTCACCTTGTAGAGACGGTCCCTCTTTTCCCTTTGAAATCAAAGCTCTTTAGACAATGGAAATTCATCTGAGTCTTCTTGTAACCAAGCTTTGCTTTCCAATATTGACAATGGAGCTGGACAGCAGGCTGTCTTTCCCATTGTTTTACATGTTGTCGTGCTGGAATTATGTCTGTGTGTTTGTGCTTGGCTAAGGCATCACAAGGTACAGCTCAAACCATTAAAAACTCTGGCCAAATGTGCTACTAATCCACAACACATGCATCCCTGATACCTCCAGGATTAAGGAGACTATATTTTCATATCAAGTTATACATGACCCCTACTTGTCAGAGCAGTGGTGCTCTACAGAGGGATCTGGGTAGGTGGGATTGATAGGCTGAGGCCAACTCTGTGCGATTCAACAAGGCTCAGTGCCAGGTCCTGCACTTGGGTCACAACAACCCCATGTAACACTACAGACTTGGGGACAAGTGGCTGGAAAGCTGCCCAGCAGAAAAGGACCTGGAGGTGTTGGTCGACAGCTGGCTGAACATGAGCCAGCAGTGTGCCCAGGTGGCCGAGAAGGCCAGTACCATCCTGGCTTGTATCAGAAATGGTGTGGCCAGCAGGACTAAGGCAGTGATCGTCCCCCTGTACTCGGCACTGGTGAGGCCGCACCTTGAGTACTGTGTTCAGTTCTGGGCGCCTCACCACAAGAAAGACCTTGAGGTGCTGTGGCGAGTCCAGAGAAGGGCAGTGAAGGTGGTGAAGGGTCTGGAGCACAAGTCTGATGGTGAGCGGCTGAGGGAGCTGGGGGTGTTTAGCCTGGAGAAGAAGAGGCTGAGGGGAGACCTGATGGTTCTCTACAATGACCTGAAAGGAGGTTGTAGCGAGGTGGAGGTCAGTCTCTTCTCCCAATTAACCAGCAATAGGACAAGAGGAAATGACCTGAAGTTGTGCCAGGGGAGATTTAGATTGGACATTAGTAAGAATTTCTTCAGTGAAAGGGTTGTCAGGCACTGGAACAGGCTGCTCAGGGGAGGGGTGGGGGCACCATCCCTCCCTGGAGGTGTTTAAAAGACGTGTAGATGTGGTGCTTAGGGACATGGCTTAGTGGTGGGCTTGGCAGTGCTAGGTTAATGACTGGACTTGATGATCTTAAAGGTCCGTTCCAACATAAACGATTCTGTGATTCTATACGAACATTACAAATTCTCTGATTTCATCTCCGTGTACTCTTCTGAAGCAACTGTGATATAAGTCCATCAAAAATTCTTTTTTTTTCCCCTAAATGAACATGATTGACCCCCAGTGATGAAGCTTCTGCATGCTCCATGAGCTTAATGTTCCCTTTCTCTGGAAAACATGCTGCTGTCTGCTCTGATGTGATCAGTCATTTCTTTCTTGTTCTTCAGAGTAATAGGAGAGGAAGGACTGGTGGGGACTTTTGCCTGCTTATTTTGATAATGAAAGTGTAGTTCTTTCAAAAGTAGAAGAGACTGAAGATTTTGACATCACAGGGAAACACTCAAGACACATTTAGCTTCAGCATTAGACTACTAGCTTAAGTTTAGTTCCCAACAAATGCTTGAACTCTAAATTTTTTCAATTGCCACCATTTGTATGATATTCTGATTTGTAGTGTTGAATTAAGGCATGGGTATCCAATCGTGAACATGACTGAAAAATTATAAAGAACCTTGAGTATACCCATCTGGGAGAAATGCAAAAAGCAAATGGCAAAAAATCCAACAAGGACTGTAATTCATCCTTTGTGTTAAATTCATTTCTTTTCAGTTTAAGAGGGGAAATGCTAGAATTCTTTTTTAGCCTTTCCTGTTTTGTATGGGTTCTCACGTCTGTGATTCTCAGGTGTTGTTGCTTGTGGGCTGTTTCTTTTTAGGCGTGTGAGGCACTTCCATGGAACCATGTGCTCTTAGAAGCTACTCAACACTTACATGTTTTCCTGGGGTTTTAAAGAAAGTGTAGTAATTATTACTTTGATGACAAATACATAAGCTCTAATGCTGGCACAAAACTGTCTTTACAGCGGTCCATCTCACTGATTTTTTTCTTCCTTTTAGGAAGCTGAAATAACCAACCCAACCGGACAAAAGTACTGACTAGGAAGTTTAGGCTTCTAGTTTAACAGGAAAGCAATATTTTTAGTTTGCTTTCCTATTTAGACCATGACAGAAAATAGATTTCAGACTTTCTAATGTCATAGTTTAGCTTTAGCCTTCTTATTTGTAATACTCATTTGAAAAGTAGCTTCAAAAATTAACATCATTTTTCTTTCATAACCAGGAATTTTGTTGTTTTACTTAGGTGAAATTAATACACAGGTTAGCTGGAATAGCTACCTTTCTGTACCCTTTTGGGCAAACTGAATTGTGTTTTAAAAAGTCTGGGTATAGTCTCAAAGGATGAGAATTTCTCTTTTCCATTCATAAAAGAAATTCCATTTAGAAAATGGTATTATTCAGCACCAAATTTAGGTGCCAAAACTCTGACTTTGAAAACATTTCAGCCTTTTCCCAGCTTTTTTGCTTATCCCTCATCAAATGCTCTTTTTTAATCTTAAACTGCTCACACAGTACCAAGTCTTTCAGCCTGGAAACCACCAGTATGCTTCTGAAGTTGTTTGTTTTTTTCCTGCCAGTAGTAGTTGTTCTGCAATACCTAATCCATAGAGGTTTTGACTGGTTTGGGAATAAACTTGTCTCTTAAGTCATCCTTCCTTCAACAAGGAAGGCAGGGAGGGTGTGCCATACAAGCAGAAGCTTCCTGTTTAATTTCAGTAGTAGTGTCAGAACACAGATTGGAGACACACACTATTAGAAATGCACAGACATGAGGAAGCATTACTACCATCATTTTGGGACAGAGGATCTGGTGGTGTGAATATTTTTGAGACTTTCTCAGACCTGACTCCTTCACTGACCTTAAATTGGTCAGTTAGCCAATCTCTTTCCACATAAGTTAAAAGGGAACCACATTTAGGTACACAATGAGGTATGGCATGGTTAAACAATTAGTGCCTGGAAACTGCTCTAGCCTACAAATGTGCTGAAGACTATTTAGGAACCCTCTGGGATGCTGTGAAGTCTCCTGCAGCACAAGAGCAGGGAGGACAAAGTTTGTGTCTCTCCTGGAGTGCAGTTATTTTCCCACCAGTGCAGGGAGCATGAGAATTTATTTGCAGGTATGTTTACAAATGTCCCTGGGGTAGATATGCATGTCTGTATTACCAAATGTAAAATTACCATGTCTCACAATTTCTTCTGTCCTATCGGTGTTATTTAGAGATATGATTGTGCTGAGGAGAGAATTTATGAAGTGGACAATGCAATGATAAAAGAAGGTCAAAGGTAAATTTTAAAGCTCTAGTGGGTTTTCTTTATAGTGGAAGAAATTGAAAAATGCTGATGAGAAGCAAGATTTTCCCCAGTAACCCATTCAAGAGGGAGTGATATAGAGACAGCAAAACCTTTAGAGGAATGATGAAGAAACATGATATATAATATTGTTATAGTGGATGCCGCCACATAATACTGATACATGTAATCTTCCAAGTTATTTTTATTCTTGCAGAGGGGGAAGTCAGCCCATGTCACAGTTGGTTTTGGTTAGGCAAGACCCTAGAAATAGGAATCTACAGTGAAAAACAGAAGGGCTTGGTTTCTGCTTTGATTTCTAATTACAAGCAATTTTTTGAGGCCAAATTACATGTGGGCAACAGGATACTATTGGCTGGGGGAAGCAGGCATGATGGCATTTGACCACTTTTGTCCCAGGCTGCAGTTTATATGTAAATAAAGAAAATTGAATGTGGGCTGGACT